ACATTTTAAAAAATAATTTTTAGAATTTATAATAAATAGTAATATACAACTAATTGGCAATCATTGGCATCGTTTATTTTTATCATTTTAAATTATCGGCATATAAATTAATTGCATTATTATTAATTCATCAATTATTATTTTATTATAATTATTATCATTTGTAAGAATATTTAATTTGTATTCTAAAATGGAACAATTTTAACCTACATTTATGTTTAAATATTCGTATAGATAAATAAGATTTAACCCCAAAAAACAAAATAAATTTTATTATATTTACCCAAAGTCATTTGATCGATTATATCGTTATAATGGGCAGTACCCTCATCATTCACAATCCAGCCACCATTAACAAACACCAATTGACCATCATTGACCAATTTTCTAACCACTTGTTTAGTCTCATTGGTTTGCAAAGCCCACCACCGGTGGAAAAAGTAGACCTCTACCTGCATGAAGCGCCGGCTCGGGTCCACCAATAGCTCTTTGACCACATTTGTGATTATTTTGCCCACCGATTGGTCGTAATAGCCGTCGGGTGACAAATGCCAGCCAACGTCGTCGTGAGAGTGGGGTATGAGATGTATATTAACCTTATTTCCGGTTGTTTTGTGACATCTGTCGTAACCGCACACACTCTCAACGCCCGGCGTTTGCCACACAAGTAATAGTAATAATATATGTAAAACGATTAAATGATTTATTGATTTAATCATGTTTAAAACATATTTTATTTTTAATTCGCTTTTTAATTTAATACAAATATTTGTATTGACTGTTACTTATTGTTTTTGTATAAAGCAAAATGAAAACAAAGCACTTGATATTTTATATTTATAAGCATTCATTAATTCTTTATAATTTTTGATAAATTATTTAATAGTAGAAACTAGAAAATGTGATAGCGCACTTAAAATTGTCTAAATTGACTGCTGATCACTCTGATTTATTTTAATAAAAATACCTTTATTATCTAAATAATATTTGGGTACGCTATGAACTTTTGATAAGTTCATATTCTGTAGTTTTACTAAAAGCACAATCTTAAGACAATTTAATAGTGACACTTTTAAATATTGATATTATTATAATAATCAACATAATTTAAAATACTGAACTAAAATATTGTTAATACATACTGTTTAATACAGAAACTGTAATAATATATTTTATAAAATTATTATAACATAATAAGAATTTCTGTAACTTAGCAATCGGTTAATGACTAAATTTGTGAATTTAATTTAAATTTTACGTAATTCAGGCATTAATTCATTACAAATTGCTAATTGAATTTTATTTTCATTTTACTGTATTCAAATTTTTATTAACCTTTAAATTTTAATTAAATAATTAAAATTACATTAAATATTTGTGATGTAACAATAATGTTTAATTCAATAATGATAATCAATATTCTAGTAAATTTAATTATTAAATTGAACATTTGAAATTTTTAAAGGTAAAATTGTTTTCACAATTTACAAATGAATAATGCTAACTTTGTATCAATACTAGCATATTGTTTAAAATATTTAAAAATATTATTTAACTGGATCTTTAAAATGTGTTTTATGCACACATCTAATCATTAAGTATTACTGATAGTCAAACCAATTTTTATAACACTTATTGCAAAATACAATACTTTCTTTTGTTATAAGTATCTGATAATAAAGTACTGACAATATTTGAACCCAAATAATAAACATATCGATCATTTTGCAATAATTTTACACAATGCAATGTGTAATATTAAGTCATTTCACACTAATGACTTAAAAATAAACCCAAATATGATCATGGTTCGTACGGTTTTAGTGCACAATAAAATTGTATATAAATACAACAAATACTAGACACTAATTATAATATCATAAGTTTTAATATATTGTATATTGTATTGAATCAATACAAATATAAAAATGCTTAAATCAACGTTAATATTGACATTATTTGCAATACACGGCGTAATTGGTGTGGAAATCCCGACCCGACTGCTAAACAATGGGATGAAAATCCCGATCGTAGGGTTGGGTGCGATGGGAATCACCGAACAAGCGGTTCGGGACGCGATCGGCGCCGGCTATCGTCATATCGACACTTCCCATAACTACTACACCGAAGACCACAAGAATTTGTCGGAAATAATAATCGGCAAAGTGTTGAAAGAGGTGTTCAGTGCGGGTGCTGTCAAACGGCACGACATGTTTATCGTAAGCAAACTCGAGAGGGCTTACCATCAGAGGGCGCGTGTGTTGGTGGGCATCAAAGAGACACTGGCCAACCTGGGCCTGGACTACCTGGACATGTACCTGGTCCATCAACCGACATCAACTGACCCGCAAAACGTGACAATCGTCGAGACGTGGGCCGGTATGATAGACGTACTGCGGGCTAACCTGACCCGCGCCATAGGTGTGTCCAATTTTAACCAAGACCAGGTTAACGAGTGCTCAGTGCTGGGTGTTATACCAGTGACCAATCAGGTGGTGAGCAATCCCTACGTCACTCAAAAGTCACTGTTAACTTATGCGGACTCTCACTCGACAACACTGACCGCATGGTCGCCGATCGGCGGCGCCCACTATCCGGGGCTACTGACGGACCCGAAACTACTGGCCATCGCTAATAGGCGTAACGTTAGCGCGGCTCAGGTGGCGCTCAGATATCAGGTGCAAAGGAATGTCATTGTTATACCCAAAGCCAATAATCCGAAGTATATTAAAGAAAATTTGGATTTGTTTTCGTGGAAACTCACGGATCAGGACATGAGTGATGTCGAGGCACTCAATCGGGAGCCCTCATTATAATGTTGATTATGGTTTATTTAGTAGTTTGTATTCTATCCCCTTTTAACTTCTAATTAATAAATTATTTGTTAAATGCAATATTTAAAATTAATTGTTAATTTAAATATTATAATTTATAATCATATTTTATATTTGTATAGCTATGTTTTAAAATAAAAGTTTGCTTTTTAAAACCTACAATATAACTTTAAAATTAAAATATAAACAAATTATAAACAAAAAAGTTGATACAATTCATGTGATTTAAGGTGTTTTTTAAATTTTTTAATTTTGGTCATACAGTGTAATTTTTAAATTAAATATAATTGTTATTGAATGAAAGTATTTTAATTCAAAATTACTTTAAATAACATTAAAAATAGTTTATGTTTTAATTATTTATTGCATTTCTTTGTTAAAAATATAGGAAAAACACAAAAAATAATTGTGTGGGCCTCCGGCCGTCGGGTCTGGCGGTCAGTATTAGTCGTCCGGACCACCAATAGATGGGTTATGAAGTATGGCATGGATTGGTGGCTCTATAAGGGTGTGGGCGGGGGGTTTACATTTCCCATGTATTCTCTATGCCATAGACTTTAACGTTACGGGCGACGAAAATTCCCGATTTGAAGCGGACACGTGAACCGATGGTGAAATGGACACCATATCATGTTATGGTACATCAGTAAAAAACTTTCTGCCAAAGGGTTTTGGCGACGGCCAACCGGTTGGCCAACTGGTCATTGGCTTCGGAGCGTATATTTCTGTCAATAAAATGCATTTTTTACCATTAGTTTAAATCGAAAAACATTTTTTTCTGCAATATAATGCCCGCCAATTAAGACAAACCACTAAATTATGGTATTATACGTGATTTGAAATTTAAAATTGTTACCAAAGTGTTTGGCAACTAATCCGCGGGTACTCACGGCCCGATCTCTTGATCCACTCAATGTTAAAGCATAGGAAAATTTGAAATTGATCCATAAGTGATCCAAAAGTGGACAACAATACAAGTGATGAGTAAAAATGTTTGTGATTTGAAAACCTATTGGGCCTAATGTCCGTTTACACACCAATGTGTCCACTGATAGCGTTTACGGGTCTTGTGGTAAAGGTTTGAAAAAATAAAGCGACAAATGGTGTGAACCACTATGAAGTCCATATAGACATTGAATGTGAATTCAAAATTGTGGGTCATTTTTGCTTCTACGCCTCCTGGGAGGCTATAAATTTGATACATGGTGTGCATCACTAATACAAAAAGCCCACCAACACACAGCCCGCTACTATACACCTAATCCCCTTTTTAAAGGGGGTTTGTATTATTTTTTAACAAACGGCTAAAACGCTTAAATATAGAGATTGGGAGGGGTTAGGGGGCCCAAAAGTTGACGATTTAATTGTATTTAGGAACTAAACAAATCATCAACTTTTGGCCCCCATCCGCCTCCTGTGAGGCTCTAGACAAGGAATACCCCTGAAACGTGCTTTAAACATGTTGACATCTACTACAACATGGGGTAGCCTGGTTTAACCCGGTACAAAAACAAAAATGACAATTTAAAAACCAATTTGTTGTTTTAATTATTTTAAATTCTCTTACGGTGGCCTAGAATTTTAGGATTCAATTGTCTCCCTGTAGAGTATTGACGGTAAATTTTATAACACTATTAGGTGTAACCCATCTATAAATTAAATTTTTTAAAAGAATTTGTTTTTGTTTTCTTATAATTGTGCCACATATGGAGCCGCACGCGGGTGTCCAGTACCGATAGTGGCCGTTACGTTTATATAATGAGCATATGGCCACTCAATGAGTGTAAATTGACGCATACATTGTTACCCGTTGTGGTAATGGTAAGCAATTATGTAATACCATGTTTAGAGCACAAAAGAGGGCGTATAGTGTCCTAACGTTAATGATTTAGTACCAAAATATGATGATTATTAATAATTTATTAATTAGAGTTATATTTTCTGTTTTCTCGCTCCCAATCGGCATATTTAAGCGTTTTTTTTTATAAATTTTCCAAAAATTACACAAAACGATAGTTTCAAACAAAAAATTTAGTAAAATTAATGAATTATTATTTACTTAATAATAATAATTATTGCATCTTTTATTAATTAAATAAATGTTAATTAAAATTATAAAACAGATTGGCTCGTGAATCCAAACACTAAACATCCAACATTTATTTCAATGATTGTTTAAATTGTATGCGAAATACTCGTGTAATTTTCTGCCTAAATAACTGTTATTAATTAAGTGAACCCCACCTCAAAAGATTTACAATGTAAGTATATGATTATATTAATATAGTTATTATTTATGTTAAATTAATATAAATATTAATAATAAATTTAGGTTTTGCATAATTACTATAATAATAATTTTACATTTAACAAACAATGTACTAAAATAAATTGAATTTAAGTTATGTGAACACAATTATTGTTAAATAAATATATTAATTCATTATAACACAGATTTAGTATAAAATGGATTTTATGGGAAAAGTTGCTCTTATTACTGGTAATTAATAAACCGTTACTTAAAAATTAAACAAGGTTATTATTCATAAATCATATTTGTAATGAAGGCTCGTCTTCGGGTATCGGCGAAGCGATTGCCATAAAGTTGTGGTCTTTGGGCGCGAATGTAGTCATCACTGGAAGGAATGACAAACGGATTCAAGAAGTGGTCAACAAATGCCACAAACGGGACAATCAAAGAGCACTCGGAGTGAGGACTGACTTATTGGTGGACAAAGACATCGAGGAATTGGTGGCGAAGACTATCACAGAATTTGGCAAAATTGATATTCTGGTCAACAATGCGGGTATACTTACGACCGCCCGCTTTGGAGACCCGAAGTATTTGGATTCGTTCGACAGGACTATCAATACAAATGTCCGAAGTATTCAAGTAGTGACACAATTAGTGGTGCCGTATCTGGAGATAACGAAAGGCAATATCGTTAACATCTCGAGCTTTCATTCAGAAGTGCCCGTAAGTACTCGTTATGTAAATTACATAATAAAAATAATTAAATAATAACTGTTTTAAGGATTGGAAAGCCATGACTTATTGTATGGCGAAAAGTGCCCTGGACATGTTTACCAAATGCCTGGCCCTACAGTTGGCGCCCAAAGGAATTCGCGTGAATAGTGTTAAGTGAGTACACATTTAATGACAATTTAATTACGCGACTAATGATTTGTTTAACACCCATAACCAAAACTCATACCCAAATGTATAGCCCGGCGGTCATACGGACGGCACTGTTCGACACCGCGACCGGCGATAACAGATTGTTGAAACATTTTGATAACTACTGCCGAGAGTGGTATCCATTGGGACGTATGGGTGAACCGGCAGATGTGGCCGAAGCCGTGGCCTTTCTGTGCTCTCCGACCACCGCCTCATTCATTACCGGACTTATAATGCCTGTCGACGGCGGAGCTCTGCGCATGTGTCGTAAATGATTGCCTTATCACCTGGCACCATTCATTTAAATACAACATTTATTTTACTCTTATTTTGCAAAATTGTATTAATTTTTTTATTGATATTTGTTTTAATGTGATACAATTAATCAATTAAATTGGTTTAAGTGCAATTAATTTAATAAATGTTATGCTATTTATTTAATCTTATACCAATAAAAAAAATTACTATTGTTTTAGGGTTTAATTTAATTATTAACAGATTTAATTAAATAAAAAAATCACAATTATTTTTATTGACACTACTTTACATTAAATAAATTTGTTGTTTCTAAAGATGTTTTTATTTTAATATTTTTATTAGAAAGCAAGAGAGAGACTTTTCTGTGATATTTTTATCATAGTTTTTACCAATTTTCTTAAACAACTATAAACTATGTGTTATTTTTATTAAAACATGTAAAGACTTTACATTTAAATAATTAATTTTATAATAACTTAAATTTAATATTATACATCTTAAAGTATTCTTAAGTCATAAATTTTAATTAAATATTATTTGCCATATGTTACTTATTATACCTTATCTGTTATTTATTATGTAAAAATATATTAATAATAAAATTAAAAAATAATTTTGTTATTCAATTTTAAATTTATCAAAAATTAATTTCAATTTTATATATCAATAATTAAAATAATATTAGGTTTAATAATGAGCTTGGACATTCGTTACAACTATTATAATATTCTGAATTATACGAGTAGTAACGTCGGTATAAATAATAAATGGTCAAATGATTGGTCAAAATATCCTGGTTTAGCATACATACCGGTGCTAACTGAATTGGAGGACTGGGTGTTGAACAACGCAAAAATGGATTACATTCATGAATTTTGGTTATATAAATGGCATTATTCAATATACTTTGCCATGGTATATCTTCTACTAATACCAACGTTAAACCTATGGGCCCAACGACAAGGTCAGCCATACAAATTACGATCAATGTTAATCCTATGGAATTCAAGTTTAGCCGCATTTTCTACCTTGGGCTTTTTACGTTGCGCACCGCATTTCTGGCATCTGTATTGGACCAAAGGGTTTATGGCCACTATATGTCAGTCGGATTACTACCGGGACATGAGGGTACTTTGGTGGTTCTACCTGTTTGCCTGGTCAAAGGTGCCTGAGCTAATTGATACTATGTTTATTATACTGCGTGGTGGTCGGCTAATTAAACTACATTGGATACACCATGGTTTAACATTGATATACTCTTGGTACTCAATAGGTGACCATCCGGGCACTGTCCAGTGGATGTTCACAATGAACTATGGCGTACACTCACTAATGTATACATACTATGCCTGTATGGCCGGGGGTTGGCGTCTATGCCGGCGTCTAAGCGTATTCATAACAAGCCTACAAATTGTCCAAATGTTTGCCGGATTTTACATTAATTATGTGGCAATGAATAGGAAACTCAATGACCAGCCGTGCGATGTGTCACAACATGTGGCCCTAAACGGGGTCGCAATGTATGCGCTGTATTTGATGTTGTTCGTGAATTTTTTCGTCAAATCCTACTTGGTCAAACCAGTTGCTGTTAATTATGTTAGTGCTAAACGTGAATAGATTTAGTCGACAATATAAGAAATAATTATATTTATTTTAAAATTTTATTATTAATTGTATAAATATTATAAAATATTTCAAGTTTTTAAAAAAGTATTTGAAAAATTAAGTTTATATAAAACACAATTTCGTGTAATTATAAAATAATTATAAAGTTTATTAATTATGATTCAATGAATTTATGATAAATAATAAAACCTTTACTAAAATGTAATTAATTTTTTATATTTGTTATTAAATTACGGGAATATAAAGAGTTTTATCTCAAACAAAATTATTTATAATATTAATTTAATATATTATTTTCTTGATATTTTAAAAATTATTTATAAATTCAATAAAAATGTAAATATGTAAATTTTTAAATAAACTATAAATTGACTGTATGTAAAATTTAAATTGCATGTATAAATATTAGTAATTTATATAAACGCAATTGAGAATCAATATTTAAAAACGTGAAAACTATTTCAAAACTAATATTAATTTATAAAAGTTAAATTAAATTTTGTTTAATTTATATTATAGTTGGTTAATAAATCACTATTGCCAATAATATGTTAAGCTAGTCACTTTGTAATTATGCTATGTAATTTATCCAAATCCTTATCACTTGCTCTTGGTCCATTCATCGAAGTAACATAACCTTTATAAATGTCACAATAATCAGTAGCATTAATGTCTAGCGGAATTATATTTGGCTTGATTACTGGAATTATCTTGCTATGGGCATAATCAATTTCATAACCCTCAAAAATCATTGCGCAGTCATCAACGTTCATAGCTTGTTTGAGCAAATCATGAACCGTGTAACTAGCTTGTAAAATTTTCAAATAATCACCATGGTCCAAGCCTAATATGTCGCTTGACAAATGTTTTCTAGGCACGAGCACAGTGAAGCCTGGTACATTAGGAAATGGTGTCAAAAAGGCAACATGATCCTTATCTTCCCACACTCGCCATTGTTCAATTTGACCTTTTACAATTTTGGCAAATAAATTGTCGTTATTCTGGTCGCCAATGAACGCAAAACTTTGTTCCTGTGTTTGTAGTTTCGTTCGGATTTGATCCTGAACCAATTTCAAACTACTATCAACTGCCCTTGGTCCGTTTTTTGACGTACAATAACCGGGGTATTGTTCGTGAAATTCCTGTTGTTCCGATGATATAGCCTCCCAATAGGGACTGAGCCCGTGCAGCGGTATCAATTTGATTTGCGCATGCTCACTCGTTGGTACAGTGATCATGGCACATCTTTTTACGGGCAACTTTTCACATAGTTGCCTTGCCCATTGTTTAGCTACTAAGAATATTTTGTTATATTCTTCTAGCGGCAATTGGAATAGGCTTGTGCAGTTATCTTTCTTTGCCTGTATAATAGTTGTCCCTGGTGTAAATGGGCAACTGTCCAAATAAACAGTGTGATCATGGTCATCTGCTAATATCCACTTTAATTTTTGTTCCGCCATTGAGATCGTAGTCATAAGTTTCAGTGATAAATGTCTTAAATTAAAAATAATTTTGATTAACAATTGTATGTAAAAAAGTATAATATGTTAATAGATTGCAATCTAAAAAACTGTGGAATTTATAATGTTATTATTATTATATTTAACTCACTAAACTTTATATCAGTTACAATTTTAAACCTTCATTTAAAACTTACAAATTAATAATCTAATAATCGTAAATAATCTTGATAATACTGTCGTCTATTTTAATTTAAATATGTTAGTTTGTCTTTTACAATTATCTTATATTATACAAATGTAACTAAAAAGTTTTAAATTATAAATACATAATAAACTTTTATTAAATAACTATTTATTGAATTTTAAATAATATCGTATCATTATTAGATGATTACCTGTTGCAATAATAATTATGTTAAATTACATGAATTAAAACGTATAAATATAACAATACTTACGTATTATTTATAATAAATTGCCAAAAATAGTGTCAATTAATATCTAACAAAATAATAGTATATAACACATAAATGTTTTTTAAAATATTTTTTACTTCCAAATGCATAATGTATTATGCAAATAACAAGGTCATGTATAATATAAAAGCTAGATAAACATTCAAACTTTATATTTGCTGACATCTGTTACAATTGTTAAACTTTAAAATAATTTATAATTCAATTCATGTGTGTTTATGTTAAGTGTAAACAGACTAGTGTTAGGAAACCCAAAAGTTGATGATTTGACGGGCCCCATAGGGGGTATTTTTGGTAAATTTCATGACCCCATAGCTAGTCCCGATCTCCATATTTAAGGGTTTTAGTGGATTTCCGAGAATTTCTCATAGCGTTACGGGTTGG